GGCTGGTAGCCATGGGCCCTCGGAGCCTGTGGCCCAGCAGCTGCCCTCATGGCCCCTGAGGCAAGAGCATCAATCTGCYTCTACCCAGCAGTGGACACTGGGGCTCAGGCCAGAAATGCACAGAAACTGCAAAGGCAAAGGAGATTTTGGGGCACTTTTTCAAATAAATGATGCCTTTTCTTAGTGTATTATGTGCATATTTGATAGCTTCTTTGTAGCTTTTTATAAATTAAAAAAAGCATGTGCTTAAAGAAAGGAAAGAATCAAAGAGATGAGGTAGATGTCTACAGTATTTATGGCAGAGGCTCAAAGACATCATGGCACTCCTGAGCCAAGACGGCTCTTCATGGCCCTTGATTTTGATGATCATGAAGTGAACCTGTGTGTTCGGCCAGGTGATCGTAAATACAAATGTGATTGTAAAATGTCAAAGTTACAGCTGTGTCTGTGCTGCTTTTGCTAATCCAGATAGCAACTGTGCCTTGCGCTGCCAGCTTTGGACGTAGCATAGAAAGCGTCTCGCACCCTGTTATCAGACGGGCATGCTGCTGGTGGGTCCATCCTTGGGTCAGAGAGTGGGCAGCCTGGAGGAGCCTTTAGATCACGTGACACCAGGACCTCCTGCAGACAGCCCTCCTGCCCTCCTGGGGTGGAGGGCGACCTCGTGGACGTGGCAGGTTAGCCAATGCTGGCGGCACAGGCCCAGCTGGCCTGCCTCCCTGAGTGCTGATGCCACCAGACGCTCTCCTCCGGCGCGAAGGCCTGTCCCACCTGTGGGGCTCCCCCAGGTGGGGGAGGTGGGGTTTCCTCCTGGCCCCCACCTTCGACTTCTGCCTGCCCCCTGCTGCCTTGGGAAACTTATTTTGCCTTTGACGTGAGTGCTGACTGTCTCACTCTYGCGCGACTTTGTCCTGAGTCAGTGCTCCTGTAAATACCCAGCATTGGTCCCAGGCTGAAAAGCGTTCGTGAAAAGCCACAGCCGGCGGAGTGCTGAGAGCCCCTGGGTGCACGTGGCGGCACTGGTGGGCGGGGAGGCAGGAGTCGGGGCTGGCAGGGCCTGTAGGGCGCGGGTTGCACCCTGGCGACGTTTTCTGTTTCCGGCCACTGTGACGCCTGGRGTGGGAGCAGCAGGTTTCCTTTGGGTAGGATGCGGGACCCTCTTTCAGCTGAGAAGGGCAGGTGAGGCTGGCGGGAGGGTGGAGCTGGGTGGTGTGGCGAAGCCCACTGTCTCAGGCAGGACCCCTTGTTGCCTTCTCCAGACGTGCCCCTCCTTACCCAGATGAAGGAGAACCAGGCTGTGCCCCCAACCCCTCCTGGATGTGGCCTGCTCTGTGGGGGGGTGTGCCCAGGCCGCCCTGCTCTCTGCAGAGCCGTGCCCACCACCAGGGGCGCCCTCCTTCCTCACCCAGCCCCTCACCCAGCCCCCTGTGGTCAGACCCTGTTCTCTGGTTCCCCCGGGGCGGATGGTGCCTGGCTGTTGTGACTGAGCGTTCCTTGGATCACAAGGCTTGTGGGGTCTTACTGTCAGGTTGGTGTTTCTTCTGTGAGCAGCCTGTGAATGTGCCTTCGCACTTACCCACGTGCTGTTCATTTTTCCTCCTGAATTGTGAGAGRTCTCTTTATGATGAATTATTTCTTTAAACAATAAGCACACTGCAAATATTTCCCCAGTTCCCCATGTCTTTTGAAGTTGGAGTACGCACACAGGTGTGCAGGAGCCAGGAAGTGCTTATGTGGCCAGAGTTCTTATCCCCGTATGACCTCTGGTGGACACAGGTGCACGCCTGCCCACTGCCTGCTCCCCCATGGCAACTGTGACCTCAGGGAGCCGAGTGGCTGCCCTTCCTTTCTGGGGGATTCAAGGCACACCCCTCTCCCTCACTCACACGTTGTCTCCTTGGAAAGGATGTTAGCAGGTCCCTCTCTGGGCCCTGCCAGTGCAGCTGCCCCCTTGCTGGGGAGTCCCCTGTCTCTGTTGTCAGACCTCCCATGCGCAGCATGCCCTGTGGCTGGCAGTGGAAGGCCACACCCCGGGGTGTGCAGTTCCCAGGGCATCAGGTTGGCCTGTGGGCCGGCCAGTTCGGTGACACTCCTGAAATTGCCATTGCCTATTTACTGGTCTTCAGGTTCAACAGGGCATGACAGGAAAAAAATCCAGAAAAGCGTTTTGTATGATCATGTCACACTGTGAAGTGCGTAGTCGTTGATGAGGGCAGTGCCCAAGGCTCACAGGGTTCCCGGGTCCTCGTCTGTCTCCTGGCCTCTTCACTCATGATGTGGACGGAGCRGCTGCTCTGCCCAGCCATGTAGGTCCTGCCCGTGGGTGACCAGAGGCCCCCTGCCTGGTCCAGTGCCGTGGGGGCACCAGGCAATAGTAGGTGGTGAGACAGGTGCCGGCTCAGCCCCTCAGGTCACCATGGGGCCAGCGGTGGCACATGCAGGACAGCACTGGAGCTGAGCCAGCAGGTCGGAAGACCCTTGTGGGCCTGCAGCCCTAGGCCTCGCAGCTGGCTCCTGGGTGGTGGAGAGGGAGTCTAGGGGTCTCCCTGGCCCTCTGTTCCTCTCTTGCCCAGGCCCTCCGCCCCACCCTTCAGTGAAGGCAGCAGGGCCTCTTCCGTGTGCAGGTCCATGTGCACCTTTCTCCAATGGCTTTGTGCCTGGGTCTGGGTCTTTCTCTTGCTAACGGAGCACTGTGTGCATTGGGTGTTTCCATGTCTACGTGTTGAGCACTAGTAACCATGAGCGAGAACATTGAGTCTCCCACACGCTGATGTTAGGATGCCTTTGCAAAATCCGGGGCAGAGTTGATCTGATTTGACGATGTACTCAGCACCTGAGCAGGGAAGTAGTGCGTGGGCTCGGGATCCTCCGCCCACCAGGCCCCGGCGTGAGTCTGCACACTTGCCTGGCCTTGCTCATAGGGTGACCCTGGCTGGGCAGGTGTCCTGAGTGGCCACTCTCATCCGGCCAGGCCTGAAGACCTTGCTGTGGGCTCTGGAGCTCTGTGGTGTACCCGCCTGAGAACGTGCTGCTCTGCTGGGTCCTGGGAGACTTGTCTCTGAGGTGACATGGAGGGCGTGTGGCCACGCGGGCTCAGTGTCACTCTCCTTCCTCAGAGGCTGCCCCTGTGGCCTGCTTGTCTGCTTCCTGGCCATCCTTGCTCTAGGGAGAACACCCTGCCTACTCTGTCGCGTGGCCTCCTGAGCAGGTGCTACTGGTCATTTGCCCCACTTCTGGCTGAGGAAGTGGGCAGCCTCAGGTGAGCCAGTGGTGGCCCAGAGTGGGAAGCATGTTCCCGGGCACCTGCCCTCCAGCTGCAGGTGGAGCCCTCTCCCTAGCCTCAGCCTCACCTGCTAGAGCACTTGGCTCCTGCGTGCACCACGACCCCGGGGTGCACGTCACAGAGGCAAGTGCACTTCCTGGTTCAGCTCAGCATTGCTGGGTGGCCTGCAGCACAGCAGCATGATGGCCACATTCCAGGATGTCCAGTGGTGAGGGCGAGAGGGGACTTGGCTTTCCCGGTTGAGGACAGGACTGCAGGAAGAGGAGGAGGAGCTCCTAGGGGCAGGAGGACACCCCGGGTCAGTGCTRTTTGAGACCAGCTTCTCCCTGAGTAGCCTCCAAGTGGACCAGGTGGCAGGTGAGGGCACTCATCGACGTGGGGGCACCAGGACATAATTTTTAAGACACAGGGCAAAAATGAGAACGAGGTGTCTTTAATGGGAAAATGGATATTAAACATGAAGCTGCAGTTCAGTACAGCGTCACCTGCTGGTCGCRCTGCTGAGGAAATGATCACGTTCAGAAATGAGCTTCACGTGGAGTTATTCCACACCACGTGAGCTCCTGCTGTGTACCCCGTGACACCCTAAATGCCTACTGTTTCTTCAAAAAAAAGATACAGAGTTCTCCTGACGTTGTTTGAAATGGTGCCCACTTGTGGGGTCAGGGAGTCCGGGTCCCTGAGCATCACCTGCACAGCCGCAGCGGGAGGGGACGTCTGGCCCTGGAAGAACCACGATCACACAGAGTCGGGTCCCCGCAACAGGGAACAAACACAGGACATTGTCATTTTCAAAGAACAAACAAGGTGACCAGTTCCTAACTCGCTTGGGTGCTCTCTGGAGGGCAAGGTCCAGCCCTCAGCTCCGCAGCCTTCTCCTGGACAGTCCCTGTTGAGAGCCACAGTTTAGTCAGAATGACGCCTGGCGTTTTGCTAGAGGGAATGGTTGAAAGGTGACCCTGCTCTGGGATCAGGGCGGATCCTGCCGCCTACTTTGGAGTCCCTGTTGAGTTCTCGCGGGATTCTGGGAGAATTGGCCCGCGGAGCCTGGTGGAGGGAGTGTGTTCCTGGGAAGCGTGCTCCCCGTGAGAGTTCGGSAATAAAGAGTTGCTGTTTGAACCTACAAGGCTGTGTGGCGGCTCGGTTATTCTGAGCAGCCTTGAGGCTCTGTGGCTTCCAGGGCTTCCCTTGTAGGACGTGGCCATGTGTGGAGTGTGAAGCTGCCCTTCACGTCCCGAGCGAGACCCTGAGACCGGCCAGGGTGGCTTCAGAAGGGCAGACCACGTGCCCCAAGGCCCCAGCGTTCTATGGCAAAGCTGAGGCCGCGAYGGCAGCACAGGGGGCGTTACAGAGAAGGGACGCCCTGCCCAGGAGAGATGAGCGCAGGCCAGGCACGAGGCGCTGGGGACTGGAAGGCCCCGCTTCCACGTGGGAGGCGTGGTGTGACAGGGCTGTGCCAGCGCCCTCTGTGCCCAGTGCACAAGAGCTGGCCAATGTGGTGAATSTGGACGGACCGTGTAAAGCACAGTGGGGCTTCCATTTCCAGGGCCTGAAGGGCCTGCTCCTCACGTGCAGGTGCAGCGTGCATCCACGTCCTCGTCTCTGCACAGTCCGAGTCTGTGCTCCAGGATGCTTGCAGAGTTGGGCAGCAAACACCGCCACCTGAGTTCAGGCCATTTCTGTCTCCCCAGGGGCACCTCTGAGCACGAGCAGCCGCCTTCCCAGCCCCTGCAGCCCGTCTGCTTTCTGTCTCTATGGGCCGCCTGCTCTGGACGCAGCCTGACACGCTTCACTGGCCTTCCGTGCTCGTGTGTCACCTCGAGGCCCGCCCTGAGGTACTGTCAGGGCTCCTTCTCTTCACCTCCGGGCAGCACCCTGCGGGCAGATGTGCCCAGGTTTGTGGCTTCTGCCCCCTGTTGAGCATTCTAGGGCTTTGCCCTCAGCTGTGAGGATGGTGCTGCAAGATGTCCACGCGTTTCTGTGGGCGCACTTCCCTTCCCGTCACACAGGCAGTGGCCTTGCTGGGTGGTACGGTGGCTCCTCTGGGTTCCATGTGACTGTGGAAGGAACTGCTAGCCATTTCCAAAGTGGCTGCACCCTTCACGTCCCCTAACAAGCAAGGCAGCCCCCGGCGAGTGCACGTCCTCCCAGTACTGATCTACCTGGGTGACACATCATGGCCTGCAGTGTCCCCATCTGTCTCCCCGGGATGGTGACACCTGTAAATGGGGCACAAACGCTGTCCCCACCTGTGTCATGGGGGACTGTCTACATCAGGGTGGCATCACCTGTACATCGGGGACGGTGTCACCTGTCTGTGGGGCGTACACCAGGGCCCTGCCGCGTCCCCATTTCTCAGTTGGGGCAGAGCTGAGTCTGCACCAGGACCTGGCAGGCCCCTCCCTGCTGCCTCAGTTTCCTCACTGGCAGAGGGACGGGGTGGTGCTTTGCTGACAGGCTGCCCCCAGGACTGACCAGGGGCTTGGGACAGTTGCCATGGAGGTGCTGGGGTTGCTCGCAGGAGCTGACCCGACTCCTGCTAATGGGCTGGGGCTGGGCGGCCCAGGCCCTCGAGCTCCCTGGGGCCCAGGGCCCAGCAGTGCCACCTGTGGTGCTGTCCTCATGGAGGCCGGGCAAGCATTCCGCCCCTGGACTATATTCACAGCCCTTTAAAAACGTGGTTTTGGATAGGGTCTCACTCAGTCACCCAGGCTGGCTTCACCTTGAGATCCCCCTGCCTCAGCCTCCCAGGCTGCTAGGACTGGAGCGTTTCACTGAGTGCAGCCACCCTCCGGCGCTCTCAGCAATCCGCCCTGTGACCCTACGTGTTTCTGGCCTTGGGATTTGTAAAAGAACCAGGTGATGATCCAGAGAGACCAGCTGGGTCCAGTAGGACCCCCGTGCTTCGGGGGCTGGATGCTGTCTAGGCCAACCTGCAGGGCCAGTGCCGGGAGCAGAGGGCAAGGGTGGGCAGGCAGCAGCTCCTGGTGAGGAGCCATCTTCCTGTCCAGGTGCTGGGATTTGAACTCAGGGCCTTGCTCTGAAGCAGAGGTTCTCACCTGGGAGCAGTCCTGCCTGCTTCCCCTGCCCCATGATTAGACTCGATTGTCACCATGAGGGTGACAGTGTCCCAGAGGTTGGTCCTTTACTCCACGCAGATGTACCTGCTTGTGGCCTGGTCTGTGACGTAGAGATCCCTCCAGCCATGACTCTGCCTTTCAGTTTATATTAAGAGTTCACTGAACTCACACCAGTAAAATTCCCCGTCGTCCTAAATAGCTCAGCAAGTTTCCTTTCACTTATGGAGGCAAGAACCGGAGAGAGACTTGCTTTATTTTATTTTTTTGCTGTGGAAGGTGTTCCTGGGATCCTCTGGAAGGTCTGCTAACCCTTCTTAGTGGAATGCCGTCATTCCTTTTTCCAAACAGAAGGGAGTTGGTTCTGGATGGCAGACTTCTGTGAAGCAGCCTGTCAGTTTAAGAGACGCTTGCCTAAGTCACTGCTCAGGACTGGGGCGACGAGCGCGCCTTTGTCGGAGTCGCTTTTCTCCTAAATCTAAAGTGCACATCAGAAGGCGAATCCACGTCAGGTCCGTGTGCTGTGTGGGTTCCCACCGTCGTCCCTGGCTGGGCTCTGGAGAGGAGCCGCGTCCAGCTGGGCCCGTGTCTCCCGCCACGCTAGTCAGAGCTGCAGGCTCTCCCCGTTCCGTCCCCTGTCCTCACAGCAGCCTGGGAGCTGGGGCGGCTCTGCTCTGTCCGCCCAGCCACCTAGAGCTCCTGGGCATGGCCCAGCCAAGGCCCAGGCCTGGGGGCTTGCCTGGCTGTCCTCCCTGCTGTGGGCCTTCTGCGTGGCCACGAGGAATCCCAGGAGCAGTGAGATGAGAAGGACATCAGGGCCAGGGCCAGGCCGGAGGAGTTTCGGGTGACTTAAGTGAAAAAGATCTTTCACATCCCAGATAGAAACCCGAGCAAATGGGACCCCTGGGATTTCACAGTCGGGTCCTTAAGTTCAGGTCATTAAGGACCGTTGTCCTTGATAAGTTCCTTTGAAAAAGGTGGTATCTCGACTTAAACACACCTGCCCAGCTTTCCTTTCAGCCACTTCACAGGCAGCGAACACACACGCGAGTGGCACCGTCCTCCCCTGCTCAGAGCCCTGGCCTCCCTGCACCCACTCAGCCTGCTGGACTGCGGTTGTGGGTGGGGCTGCTCCCTCTGCTGCCACTCGGTATTCATGGCTTTAGCTGAAACCTGATAAAATCCAGCTGAGAGCAGAACTTTGTGGCCTGGAGAGGAAGAGAGCTAATTTTGAACAAGTAAGTTTTGATCTGTTGGTTCCACGGTCTTTTGGTTGTTCTTGTCTGGCCTAGGGCAAGCCCCCCGAGCACTCTGCCTGCCTGCCTGCCACTCATCAGACAGACAGCCGAGGGCATCCCCAGGGCAGGGCTGCAGGCTGGCCCCACACCTGCCCCCACCACAGGTGGGAGGTGGGGCAGGAGGACCCTGCTCTCAGGCGTTTCCACCTGGTTAGGCCATGAAGACCCACTTCCAGGAGTTCCCGACGCATCCACAGACTCCTGGGAGCTTGATTCCAGCTCTCCTTGGAGCAGCATCCCGACCACTCTGCAGTTCTGACTGGGGCTGGACAGGACCTGAACCCCAGGCTTCCTGGACCCCACTTTTGACCAGCCACTTCAGCTTGCTGGTGCTGGCTTTCTGTACTTACCAAGTTAGGGGGCTTGTAGTGGTCACCTCGCCGGACCGTCAGCCATTGAATCCATATGCTCTGGGAACCAGAAGTTGGAGGCCCTGCTGGGTAAGGTTCCCTTTAGAATTGTGTTCAGAAAGGCTGGTGGCCCACTGCCGTGTCACACGGGGCTGAGAGTGGCCAGCTCCGATGCCTGGCACCTGTGCCAGACCTGGTGTGAATTCCTAGTGCCCATCACCCATCACCTATAAAGCTGTGAGAGAAAGGAACCCTGTAGAAAGGGCCACGAGGGCAGCTGGCCACCATGAGGGTGAGACGTATGGGTGCCGTTGGCCATGAAGGCAAAGGGCTGAGGAGAACCACAGCCAGGGCCTCTTCTTTGGACAGCGGGTCATGGGTGGCCTATGACTCGCCACGCCGCAGTTAGGACCACAGGGTCCGATGCAGGTGCAGCCTGGAGACATGAGTCAGGGAAGAGGGTCTTCCTCAGCACCATCTGTAAATGCAGAAAACCAGGAACCAGCATCTCAGGGACTGTGTAAGGAATGATGTGATCACCCCTTGGAGGGCCCAGCAGGAATCAAGGCGATGACCTGTCTGTGTTGTTACCTCCTTGTGGCCTTTGCTGCATGTGTGCTGCTGGTGGCCCTGCTGTGGGAGGTCTGTGCACTGCAGGACACTTATGAGAGTGTAGGGACCAGGGTGCAGCGCAGGTGCTCACAGCTCAGGGACCAGGGTGCAGTGCAGGTGCTCACAGCTCAGGGACCAGGGTGCATCGCAGGGTGCTCACAGCTCAGGGACCAGGGTGCAGTGC